CTGAAGTCTTCGACGGGTTTGTTTTTTTTGTTGTTTTTTTGTTGTTTTTTTTTTGTTTTTGTTTTTGTTTTTGTTTTCCCCAAGATAGGGTTTCTCTGTGGCTTTGGAGGCTGTCCTGGAACCAGCTCTGATGACCAGGCTGGTCTCGAACTCACAGAGATCCTCCTGTCTCTGCTTCCCGAGTGATGGGATTAAAGGTGTGCACCACCACCTCCCGACCTCGACAGGGTTATATTAAATTTGGTTTGGATCACTCCTTCCCTTGCTTGTGCTTCTTGTGTCAAGGCTTTGTCTTGTGCTTGGGGCTCTCACAGCCTTCCATTCCAGTGTCATCTGGCCCTGTTCTGTGACATACACCTCTGTCAAGGTTCTGCCATGCCATCTTGAAGTTCTTTGCTTTCCATGGAGGGCTCTACTCCCATTTTGAGTTTGTACCAAGCCCCCTGATTGAAGTAGCTGGTCTTGGGTCTGGGAATGAGCTTTCTAAAGCTGCCTTAAATGCCATGCCCTTCATTCAGAGTCACCTCTAAATGTGGCCCCATGTCTTACCGGTATGCATTCCATCTTGAGTGCTTGAAGCTTCTCCATGTATACTGAGTGCCTCAAACTCCTGCATGTGCTCCCCGTGTGCCTTCTCTGTTCCTTCCCTCTCTTCTTTAGGGCTGGGCCAGTGGCTGGGGTGTAAAATGCTCCATGTGTGAGGCTCTGGGTTCACCCCCAGCACTCCAGTATTGACATACATGTCGGTCATCCAGCCAGCTGCTTGTTCTAGTCATTCTCAGCGCTTCAGCTCCTTCGAACAAGATTCTGTCTGGGATTAATAGTTCTTTTTGAGAGGGTCTCTTGTAGCCAAGACTGGCCTACAATCTCTTCTGTAGCCAAGGATGTCCTCAAATTTCTTATCTTCTGTCTCTACTCACTCAAGTGTTGGGATTCCTGCGTGCAATACCACGCTTGGTTTTATGGCCCACTGTGGTGGTACCCAGGGACTTGTGTATGCTGAGCAAACATTCTACCAAACGAATTTGATCACCAGCCCCATCACGATGATTCTCCCCACTCCCCTCCACCTCTCTCTCCTCCTCTTCCTTGATAGTGTCTCCTTGGCCTTGAACTCTTGACACACCTGCCTCAGCCTTGCCTTTGGGATGATAGCTCTATTTTGCTAGAGTAAAATTTGCTTTTCCCAATCCCCAGAGTTTTCATCCATTCATACGTGCACCAAATTTTTATGAGCACTGAAGATACGGTATTGAACTAAGTCTCAGTGTGTCTGCTTTGTGTTTCTGCTTCTCCCTCCCTCCCTCCCCCACTCTTTATTCTTCTTCTGTGCCTCTCACTGTGCACGCACACACATGTGTGCATGTGAGTGTATGCAGATAGCATCAGAGAGTAGTTAGTGTTGGAGGGGAGGGAGTTGGGGTTGCTAAGGGGCATGTTTCTGGGAAACAAAACTTTCTAAAATTCCGAACTGGTGCTGGTATCCACCAGTGGTGGAGTGCTTAACTTTCAGGCACAAGGCTGTGGATGTGTTCAGATGCAAAGAATAGTAGCAGCAGCAACAGAAGTCTTAATTCAGCACTGGTAACAGTTGTACCACATTAAGAATATACTGAAAGTCACTGGGTGGTATGTCGTAGAAGGGAAATGCTATGGTGTGTGTGAATTATGCCAGTGAAGCCTCCACATCTCATCTCTGGAGGTGAGAACCGTAAGGAGGGTTTCAGGACATAGCACTGACTACCTGAAAGCACAGTGCTTCCCTGTCTTAAGTACTTAGCTAATGATGTCATTGTTCTCAGGGAAATAGACTTCCATGCTGCTGTCAGTAAGCTGGGAGGAGCTGTTCTTTATGGCTGTACACCCAAAGTATTAACCACCATGTAGTTTGCAATTAATAATACTTACTGAATAAATGAGATTCCTTCAAACGTTGTTAAGTATGTGCCATGGCAAAGTGTGTCTGAGAAAAACTAGGAGATCAATTCTTTTCTCCCATTATTTTAGCCCTAGGAATCCTCAGATTCTCAGCTGGTTAAGCCTGGCAGCTTTACCTACTTACTGAGCCATCTCAGGTGCCTATGGCTACCAATCTTAGAGAAAGTGCATACTTGCATACGGCTGAGTTTGGGTTCTTATGCTGGCATGACCTCCAGGCTTGGAATGTCTTGACTGTGTTGCAGTTGGTTTTCTTTGAGACAGGGAGGCCTGGATAGCCTCCATGCTGTATGTAGTCTTCTTGCCTTAACCCTCCAACAGCTGTAGTTAGGCATATACCACCATATCTGGCTTAGACCTGTGTTTTAGTTTTAATTAAAATATAATGTGAGTTTGAGGCCAGCCTCGTCTACAGAGTGAGTTACAGGACAGCCAAGCCTACACAGAGAAAAAAAAAACAGATAAATATAATTGAATCATTTATTCCATCCCTCTCACCTCTAATCCCTCCCATTCTCCCCCCTCAAATTCATGGCCTCTTTATTATTGTCACATACACACATGCAACAAATACTCAGGAGTGGTGTGCTGCACTTACGCACTCAGGAGGCAGAGGCAGGCGGATCTCTGAATTCTGTTTGATACAAGAATGAGTGAATATATAAACACAGCCATTTGAATATTTTAGTGTTGCTTGTATGAATTTGCTTTTAGAGCTGACCACCTCTCTCATCAATCGTTACCAGTCTATGAAGAGATTTCTCCATCGGTGTTAATCAAATGGTCAGGTCTTGTTTAGGTAGCCAATTGTTGATTTCATGGGTATAGCTTCATTGTCATGTTGAAGGCACATCTTACTGTAGAGTTCTGGTCCTTTGGCTCTTATCTTTCCCCTCTTCCAATATGTTCCCTGAGCCTTTGGTATAGGGGTTGTATTGGAGATGTATCAATTGGGACTGGGTAGCCTGTGTGGACCTGCATTATTAGCCACTCTGCAGTAGTTGGGAAGAGTGGCGTGGAGATTTCTACAGCCTGTGGTTCAGTGCTTTTCGCTTGAGGATAAGAATGTAGATTCAAGCTGGGGAAGCAATGGGTCTACACAATTTCAAGGGGAGACTGGGGCCAAAATACTTCTCAGGCACTTTCCTAGTATTCTTTTTTTTTTTTTTTTTTTTTTTTTAAGATTCATTTATTATGTGTGCAACATTCTGCCTGCATGTATTCCTGCATGCCAGAAGAGGGCACCAAATCTCATTATAGATGGTTGTGAGCCACCATATGGTTGCTGGGAATTGAACTCAAGACCTCTGGAAGAGCAGTCAGTGTTCTTAACCTTTGAGCCATCTCTCGAGCCCCCCAGTATTATTCTCAAATATCCTTCTTATTCTGTCTATCTATTGATCTATTCATAATTCTCAGGCATTTTCTTGACTGTTAATATTCTTAGATATCTACCTACCTACCTGACTGCCTGTCTGCCCATCCATCCATCCATCCATCTATCCATCCATCCATCCTAGTGAGCATGTGTGTGCCATAGCATGCATGAGTGGAGGTAAGAGGCAATTTGCTTGAGTCTGCTCTCACTACCCAAGGTTTTAAAATCTCAGGTGGTCAGGTTTGGCAGCAGGCACCTTTCCCCACTGAGCCATCTCACCTGCATGATTTTGTGATTTTTGTAAGAGCTTAATGCCTGTGCAAATGTGGTTCTTAGTGGTTCAGATCCCTGGTCAGCAGAGGACTTCATTTTTGTAGAAAATGTTCAGTTCTTAGAAATATGTAGGTTTAACCCAGTGCTGTCTGCCAGTCTTAGGCAACATTAACAGTTTCTTTCTTCTCCCCCCCTCCCCAGGGTTTCTCTGTGTAGCTTTGGAGCCTATCCTGGCACTCGCTGTGGAGAACAGGCTGGCCTCGAACTCAGAGATCTCTGCCTGCCTCTGCCTCCCGAGTGCTGGGATTAAAGGCATGTGCCACCAATGCCGGTCCAACATTAACAGTTTCTACATACAAGAAATTATTATTTTTTTCCTAAAGTATGTTTTAAAAACCCCAATGCCATTACAACTGTGCTATCACTAGATAATCATCTAATTATTGAGACTCAGGAAAAACCTGTGTGTGTTTTGGGAGACAGGGTCTTTCTAACGTAGCATTACTTTAAACCCTTGATCCTTCTATCTTGGCCTGCTGAGTGTTGGGATAATAGGTCATGTCTGCCTATATGGTGTTCTTTTTTTGAGACAGGGTCTAAATATAGCCCTAACTGGCCTGGATTTTGCTTTGTAGACTATACCAGCCTCATTCTCAGAGATCTACCTGCCTCCTCCTCCCCAGTGCTGTGATTAAAGTCATGTGCCAATTGGAAAGGTTACTTTCCCTCTGGTCTCCCAGAGAATGGTTGAGCCTTCTGTCTTCCCAAACTGCTTGATGAATGCCTGTTCCGGGGGTAGGGCGTGGGGAGGGGAGTGGGTTTGGGGCCTTTGTCAAGACAGTGTCGTCCTGTGTAGAGCTCTGGCTGTCCTGGAATTCACTATGTAGACCAGGGTAGCCTCTGGAATTCGTAGAGATCCACCTGCCTCTGCCTCCCAAATACTGGGATTAACGCGTGCAGTACTATGCCTGGCAAACACCTGTTCTTGTTACTGTCCTTTGTTGGGGCCTTGCTGCCCCAGCTGTGGCTTACCTCCAGTGCTTTTTTTCTGTTCCACCTCCCTCCTCATTTTAATCTTGGCTATTCTTTTTCTTGTAGTTTTTCACTGTGATATCCTTAAGAGTTGCTTTTTATAATCCACCAGGCATTAAACACTGTAATAGTTACCTCCACTTAGCTTTCTTACCATGTTATGGGCGATGAACCAAAGGCTAAACTGTCAAGCGTCTATTAACTTTTTCTCCCACATTTTGGAAAACAGATCTCATATAGCCCAGATTGGCCTGGAACTTGCTGGTAATTGAGGATAATGTTCAACTTCTGACCCTCCTGAGCGCTGGGATTATAGGCTTGTGCCAGTACACCCATCTTGGAAGCCTTCCTAAGTGTTTTTTTCCCCTTTTTTAAACAGAAGTTGGTGACACGGCAAAGCAGTACCTACAAAAAGGTCTTTTGGTTCCAGATCATGTGATCACACGACTAATGGTGTCAGAACTGGAGACCCGGAGCACACAGCACTGGCTACTAGATGGTGAGTGGGTAATGGGCAGGCTGGACTTTAGCACCCTTGATCAAGTTCATAGTTTTACAGTTCATTAGCTGCCCCTCCCCGAAATCTGTCATGGATTTAATATTATAATTTGGCATCATGTAAAACTGGTATGGGGATGGCATTTAATTTTCTGCCTGCTGACCATTTCTGTAAAAGCTTTAATTTGAGGGAAGCATGCTGCCATTGCCTTAGCTGCATGATGTCTGTGATGAGCTAAATAAGAGGTGTTTTCATTTACTGGGGTTGCACAAATTCCAACTCTGAGTTTCTTTGTTTTTGCTTGACTGATTAACAGAAAAATGGTGTCTAAAAATCTTACCCTGGTTATATAGGAAGGTGATTATAAAAATGGTAGCCTTAGCTAGGGGATACCTCTTATCTCTGCACTTGGAAGACTGAAGCTGGGGATTACAGCAAGTTGTAAGCTAGCCTGTGCTATAATAGTGAGTTCTAGGCCACTGGATTACAGAGTAGAGCCTTTGTGGGGTAGTGTAGTGCTGTGCATTCTTATGATCCAGCCATTCCATTGTTGTGAAATATTAAAGATGTGTTATATTCTTTTATGCTGTGGAATGTTTGTTTAGTAATGAGAAGATGTGTTCTTTTATGTTGCATTTGTTTAATTCTGTAAAGCTGTTGTTACTCTGCCTGTCTAAAACACCTGATTGGTCTAAAAAAGAGCTGAATGGCCAATAGCTAGGCAGGAGAGAGAAATGGGTAGGGCTGACAGGTAGAGAGAATAAATAGGAGAAAAAGGAGAGAGAGGACACCAGGGGCCAGCCATCCAGCCACTCACCCAGCTACTGAGTAAGAAGTAAAGAAAGATATATAGAATGGAGAAAGGTAAAAGCTCAGGGGCAAAAAAAATAGATGGGATAATTTAAAGAAAAGCTGGCTAGAAGCAAACTGAGCTGCTAAGGCCAGGCATTCATAAGTAACAATAAGCCTCTGTGTATTTATTTGGGTGCTGGGTGCCAGGCCCCCAAAGAGCAGAGAGTAAAATAGCCAACTACATTTCATTCTGAATTTCTTCCCAGGGATGTGTCTTCAAGGATGCTTATTTGGCCTCTCCTTTGGTAAATAGTTTAAGACACTTTTTTTTTTAAAGGTGTTAATAGCTGTCTCCAGAAAGGAGTAAGCTATGTAAATAAATGTTTAAAAAAAAAGTTACAAATAGTGTAAGAGAAAATACATATTTTTATGGTTCTCTGAGGACACAGGGAAGAATATTTTACTGATGAAAGAGTTAGGTTAATGTTTTGGAAGTGAGTGGGGGTCTGGAGAAGGCTCAGTGGTTAAGAGCATTTATTTGCTGTTCTTGCTTCCCAGCACAAACATGGCAGCTCACTTGAGTCTATAACTACAGGTCTAGGGGATCCAGTAACTTCTGACCTCCCAGGGCACAGGCATGTACATTGCATACATGGCAATATGCAAGCAAACATTCACACACATAAAATATAAAATGAATGTTCCCTAGGTAGAAAAGTGTGGTTTAGAAAATATGGATTTGAGTGGGAGGGTAGGCACAGTAAATGGGGCATGACTCAGCCTAGTATTCGCTGAGCTTTCAAGAAAAAAGGCAATGAAGGTCCTTTTGATTTTTCTGCATGTTACTCAAATTGTATGTCACTGATCAAATAAACAAGAAAAGCATCTTAATATTAGGGAGAATTAAAATACCTTTGGTATAGATTATATGATTTCCATTATGAAATTGTGCACAGAAACGTGTTTTGATCATATTTATTCATCTGTTGTCCCACCCCAACTGATCTCCCCTTTCCCAGCTAGTCCCCCATTCTATTTTTGGTTTCATTTTTATTTTTTGTGTGTGCCCCAGTGAGTTTAGCTAAGGAGCATGGGTGAGGACTTATTTACAGGAGACAGGACAACTTACCAGCCACTGCACCACTGAAGAAAGTGTCTTTTTCTCCGGTAGCAGTCCCACTTAACTGCCTGTGAGTCCCCAGGGAGTGGCAGAGCCCTGTGAACCTCTCCAGGACAGAATGCCAACAGTCCCAGTATTAGGCAGGTCCTGTGTAAGTAATAACAACTGCCAAGAGTTCAGAAGTGCAAAGGCCATCCATGTCACGCTTAGAAGACAGCATTCCACAACTCTTTTGTCTGGCTCTTAACGCTTCTCATCCCGTTAATTAGTGTTTCCATTGCTATGATTAAGCACCATGACCAAAAGCAATTTGCTTACATTTTGACATCACAGTTCATCAGAAGGAAGTCAGGGTAGGAACCTGGAGGCAGGAGCTGATGCAGAGACCATGGATTTATTTTCATGTTCAGCCTGTTTTCTTGTAGCACCCGGGACCATCATCAACCTAGGGGTGGTACCACTTGCAATGGTCTGGGCCCTCTCACATTAATCACTAATTAAGAAAATGATCTACAGGCTTGCCTACAGCCTGTATGGAGACAGTTTCTCAATTGAGGTTCTTTCCAATCAGGCGATTCTAGGTGTGTCAAGTTGACACAAAAGTATCCAGCACACACTGCAGTTCTGTGGTATTTTCTGCGCCTCGGTGGATGTGGTTATGGATGCGGGTCGGTTGGTAACACTAATGCTCTGTTTAGGGATGAATACCAAATAGTCACTTATTCTTAGCTCTTTGAACAGCTAACACCTTCTACTTTAACTGCCACCCATGGCACATAGAAGCTTCTTTGACCAAATCTGACGGCAGCACTAATCTGTGGTCATAAACATAAATATTTAGAAGTCGGTTTGACAGGCAGGACATATCATGTCCACTTATGGAAGCAGCAGCAGTCACTTACCCGCTAGACTTTTGATCAAGTTTAGAGTACCAGATGTGAATGATTGAACCTCGCATCCAACCAGAAAGCAGTTGGTTATTATCTCTATAACAGGGATGCCACTATTGCCTAGCAAGTCTCATGCAGGGTTCACAGCTGAGTGACGCTTTACCCCCAGCAGTGGCATTATAGGCGTGTACTACTATACCCATTTCCCAAATATTTGTTTTTGTGTGTGTGTGTATTTTGGATGAGCTCTAGCTTTGCCAATACCTGTCAGTAATTCCTTTAAAGTTCTTTAATCATAAGGCCTCATGCCTTGTAAAATAAAAATCTGTGTACATTTAGGGATCATGTCTCTATTAAATTCCCCTCAAGAGGTAGCTAATGGGTATTGATTCTTACTTCTTCTCCATGTGAGGGTGTAACCCTCATCATGCTTTTTTGTGTGTTTGATTCATTGTGGAAGATAGATTAGGGAAGAGCTAAAGGATGAAATGACTGGATGTAAAATGCTCAGTGTAACATTTGAATAAATGCCATGAGGTTTTGTTTGAATATGTCATGGCTAGAGTAAATATCCATGGCCCCCCTGGATATTTGTTGTTGTTGTTGTTGGCTACTATGAAGTTCAAAAATAAGCTGGCGATGGTGGTGGCACACACTTTTAATCTCAGTCCTGGGAGGCAGACGCAGGTGATCCGGTTCGAGGCCAGAAACCCTGTGGTGATGGTGGTGGTGGTGGTGGAGGGAGTTAAAAATGTAGCCTTGCAGAGTTGCAAAGTCAGTCAGTCAGTCAGTTACGGACTCTTTCCCTGCTTGCTTTTGTCTTAACTGTTCTCTCAGAGAAATAGCTGGTCCTTTTGCATCACGGGCCTGTTTTTAGTGAAGTACGTCAGTCTCCCAACTGATTTAGTTTTCATCTTCCGGAAAACCCATCTGGTCATTTTCAGTTTTGATTTTTCTTCAAAGCTCTGGAATCTGTCCATTTGGCAGTGAGGGTGTAAGGGCTGCCTGGTCCCCATGTTCTGCTTTAGACCCCTTATGTTGCAAGGAACATGGTCGTGCTTCGCAGAGGGTGTGCTTGCTGAGTGTACTAAAGGTGATTGAATGTGTAGAGGCCTGTCTTAGAAGGAATTCTGGATGACAGATGATTCATCATCTTGGTGCATATGGCTGTGGAGAGGCACTCTGCTAACCGTGGGTGGAAATCCGTGCAGTGGATGCAAGCCAAGGGAACACCAAGTTTGGTGGGGGATGGTGTGTGTTCTGCCTGGCCAGCACCATCCTTGTTAAAATGTTCAGCCTTATCTACCTTCACAGCCCTTGGAAAAGAAGCACCCATTTTGTTTTTCTCTTTGAAGTAGAGCCTCACTGTGTAGCTCAGATGACTTCAAACTTCTGGTAATCTTGTCTATAGCCTCCCAAATGCTGGGATTACAGATTATGAGATATCGTGGTTGGTTTTCAAAAGATTTTTATTTGGTGGATTGGTCAGCTATTGCCAATATAACAAGATTTAGATGAGTAATGGGTGAACAAAAAGTTTTATTTACTTTGAAGTGTGGTGTGTATATTTAGCTATCCTTCTGTTGCTGCGATAAGATACCATTACCAAAAGTAGTTTATGGGAGAGAGAGTTAATTTTTCCTAGGGCTCCAGAGTTCAGAATGACAGGAGAAACAGGCAGCTGGAGCAGGAAGGAGAGGGATCACACCTTCAACAGCAGAGAGAGCAAATGGAAGCGTGGCAAGGTTCTGCCTGCCTGCCTGCCTGCCTGCCTGCCCCCCAAACAGCATCACCAGCAGGGGACTAAGTATTTCAATGCCTGAGGTGTGGGGAATATTTATTTGTTATTCAGATCACAAGATCAAACAGCATAGTGAGAGCCCCCTCTACTGCATCTTAGCATGATTGATTGCATCTTAGTAAGAGCACAAACACAAGAGGTTGCATGATGTAAGGAAGCCAGAGTTGGTAGGGGCCATGCTCCTTGATGCTGTACAAGTCTCAGGGAATTAACTGGCATCCTCAGGAACCATAGTAATCACTTCCAAGGAGTGTGCGTGCATGTACACACACACACACACACACACACACACACACATGTTGTGTGCACCTTCCCTAAAAAACCCATGTGATCTTGCATGTTGTCTCACTGGTTACTACGCCTCAGGACATAGACCTTTGGGGGATGTGCCCAACTC